CCGTTTCATACATGCACATGTGCTTACCACTGAGAGAGTTGAAGGTCATATGAACACCACTTTTTGCAGTCATAGCATATGCAGTGTACAGGCACATGTACATGTATGTGCAGATGCTGAATTGCTGCGGTCATCAAATGTGCTTTCAGAAGTTCAAAAACCTTTCGAAGGTCAAATCTTTGAGATGGACTAAACAATCACATAAGATTTTGTGTGACCATATATCCGGTGCGTACGCAAGGTTATTGTTTTCTTTTATGTTGCCGGTTTTCTCATTAGAGGGAAGTGTGTGTCATTCGAGTTCTTCCCTCTAAACCTGGTATTGACAGAAATATTCTTACCCTGAGGAAGTGACTGAGAACTCTTCTTCGAGTATTTTCCCTTGGTGAATGTATCTTGCTTGTTAACTCTGTTTTCCAGTTAGAAGAATCAATTCTAACTTCGGTCAAATTCCTTTTAAGTCATTGATCTTGGTTCCTTGGGAGTTGATTCTTGATAGGCAGCTCCTGATGTTTCTAAGATTTGCCCATTCTGAGGGGTACAAATATCAGGCATTGCTGGGAACTTGAGAAACTGGTTGCCTAGAAATTAAAAATACGGCAAGAAATTTACATGTAGACAAGTGAGTTATAACAAGCAATGGATTTTGCAAAGAAGGTTTCAGGGTAGTAAACCTAAAGAATAATCAATAAAACTTGGTACTTGTCTGATGAGTATGACTGTCTCAGCTTTTGTTTACTTGTAATTACCCCTAGCTAAAACTGACTATTAGATTTTAAGCAAATTGTCCTGTACACAGCTACATGTACATGTACGTGTATGTATATGTACATGTATAACTATATTCTTAAATTTGTGTTAGCGATCATGTACATACATGTATACATGTATAAATTGAACATTTGCCCAATTTCCCAGTTGTGTTGGTTTTGTATGAAGTGACCAGAACATGTTCAGCTTTGATAGATCCTCAAAATTGGGTAATCAGAAAGCATTGTTTTCAGATCTTAGTAATTCTAATATTGTTGGCTGTTTTTAAAGGAAAGCCCAGAATTCAGGAAGTTATCATACATTTACATGTACATGTAGGTTCCTAGAAAGTTGGTTGAAAAAGCATAGTGGATACTTTGTCCTTTGTGTACATGTTAGTGTAACGTTTACTAACTTTGTTTTGAATAATTTTTGAAATGCAATATGGAGCCTGAAAGGTACATGTGTATAATTTAACTTTCAAACTCCATTTTTTTAAAAGAAAATTTCCTCTCAGTAAAGGCTATGAACTTCAATCTGTGCATTTGCAATTGTGCTAATATGCCATCAATCCAAATTTGCATTGTTACCCTAGCTTTTGTTGGATATTTGGTGCGTACTGCGGTATACCCATACATGTACCTGTAGTGTTGCAGGTGTTTATAGAGTACCTCTTGGTGGGAGGCGGTGGAGTGGGGTTAAAGATCTGTTGGCAAGGAAAAATTGATTGTGGCAATGTTCAAAACTCTGTGATAATCTTTGTTACGTGCTACCTTGTGCAGACTGCAGTGATCATTTGTGGCCTGGTGTACGTGCTAGTTGCAACACCCTATCAACACCGGGTCAAGGATATGTACATGTAAATGTACATAAGCCTTTTCACACTAAATCTGAGGGCTGACTCGGTTGAAAACTGACAGTGATTCACACTTGAAAATTTTCAACCCTGCGTAAACCCTGAGATTGACTTCAACCTGGGTTGAACTCAACTCTGCTTTGGACCAAGGTTGAGATTTTCCACTCAGATTGAAAATTGTTTGTGCTCACTTCCAGGTTGAATGAAACAAGTGCGAAACAAATGGCGGGTTGAATGGGGTTTGCCCAGGGTTGAATTCAACTTGGGTTGAGAGGCTGTAGTGCGATATTTTGATATCTTATTTTTACGGTTTGGTGTGCCCAATAATGCAGTTGACAAGTGGTTGTTAAATGCTTTCCTTTTATCATTCAAACCATTTAGTACATATTCAAAAACAAAGGATATAAGAAAAGTTGTGAATCTTCCTTTTCTGCATGCATCATTGAAACAACGTTAAGCTTTCTGGACCTCATTAGCTAAAAATATCTCAAGTGTTGCAGTCTTATTTGAAACTTTTGAAAGTATGTTTTTCCTACTGACCGAATAAGAAAAATTGATTTTCAGCTAAACATTGAGTCATTATTTTTGAAAAGTCAGTGTAATGTCATTTAATGTACCAGTACATGTGAAGTTTCTCCATATCTTTGCAAAGATAAACCAGGACTCTTTCTTTTTTCTTTTTGCAGGTCTAAAGTTAAAAGCTGCTTCGTCTGGTCAGCCTAGTGCTGTCCATGGTCAGGGAGGTGGGGATGCAGACTGCAAACCTGCTGTGAATGGATTGAACAACAGTCTGGTGCACAATGCCACCTTACCCAATGGAAGCCTGGAGTCTACGGAGGCTGCTAATGAACATGACCAGCCCAACTCCAGCATTGACTGTGCCCCCCCAGTGGCTGATACGGACAAGAACAGCCCAGTCCTGAATGGGCATGCTGAAGACACATCCTCGGTAGATATAGACAGAAAAAGCGAAGCTACCGATGCCAATGGTAAGAAAGATGCAGCCGAGAGCAGCTCAGAAGACATCCCTGCAGAAAACATGGTTGAAGATGTCGAGGGAGACAAAACAAAGAGGACAGAATCAGAGGGAAAGGAGGCAAAGAGAGACTCAAAAGTGGAAGACGTTATCGTCATACAGGACACCGCATTCACTGTGAAGATTGTTCCCCCAGGCTCTGAGCCATTTGAATTACAGGTTTGTTCAGAACTTCATGGTTTGTGGCACAGCTGTACAGAGGGTTTATCACAGGTCCTTTTAACGATCTTAGTTACAAGTTCTTTCATAAGTCTTGTCATGGGTACTGGTTAAAATGGATCAAAATCAAGGAACTGCTTTTTTGTCACAGTTCATTTGAGTAGCTTGTGGCTTGAAACAGATTCACTTGTAATGGACTTGTGGTAGACTGGCAGAGTCTGTGATAGCTCCAGTTCTGAAATCACTGATTTCTGCATTTTTTTTTTCGCTTGAATTTTCCAGTTTCATATTAAAGATACATTTACGTTACCGTTGCTTGTAATCCTTGGCCAAGATGTATATTGTTGTGTACATTACTAAAAGTTAAGGACTGGAGTACTTTGGTGCCTCTCAGCAGTAGATGGGGCCATGTTGCCTGCGTACTTGTGAGCCGATTCAAAATGGATGTGGTGTTCTTGAGCTGGGGGTCTGATGAACCTCAGTGTCAAATCCTACCGCTTGTATTTTTGTCTGCTCAACTAGAAACAGGGACATTTTTATTTCATTTTGTCCCTCACTTTTTCTCAAGTTCCATTCTGTGGAGGAAAGCACACAGGATTTCTTTGACAACCTGTCAGCCTTCAGAACTGCTTTTAACTGCAACCATGGAAACCTTGTGATTCACAGTACTAATGGATGATGTGCGCGTACAGGCTTTTGCCAACCACTTTGATATGGCAGAGATGTACATGTTGCATATGTGTAGTACATGTATATGAGGTTGATCAAATATCGGTGTTTTATCAGTGTTTTAGTAAGCGTGGATATGTATAAATTTAGGTACTTGTGTTGATAGTGAATGTTGTACGTAAGTTTGTACAACTATCTTAAATCGATGATAGGCAGTGATAATTCAATCAATCAGTAGCTGGTTGACAAGTCTCAAATCCACTATTCATGTCCAGTTTTCATGAGGTTGGATTCAGCATTGTCCAAGACTAACAGGCTTGTTTGTGAAATTAAGCTTGGAGTTAAACCACAAAGGATGTTGAAAGTTCAATAGAAGCATTTGCACACACCAACTATGGACTGATGGTCAGTTGGTTCGTGATCTGACCTGTGCAAGCAAATGACACATTTTACTGATGGACTTAGAGCCGGAGTAAGTGTTCTTTTGACCCTAGGCACCTGTCTTCAGCAGGCCTTATTTTGACCTACATGTAGGTACAAGGGCAAAAGTCACAGAGCTGCAGCCAATTTCATGAAACTTTGTGCAATGGTGTAACTCCACTTATGCCACATTTTATTTAGTACGTCCCACAACAAATTGAGACTTTAATTACAGGTTTTGCCCAGTACCTGACATGTATATTTCAAAACACTGTATGCTCAGAGCTTGTCCAAGAGCTTGTGAAAAAATTCACAAGCTTACTCGGGTGGAACTCAAACCCAAGACCTCCTGCTTACTGGTGTAGAGGTACATGTAATAACCACTTGATCACTGAGCTTGCCAGGGTCCGTGAGGGTCGCTGGCTCATCCAAGTCAGGTGAAGCAGCAGGTGCCACAAACCACTTGTATTTTCAAGTTTATTTTATTTTATTTCAAATACGAATTTTGTCCTTACTGATGTATATAGTTATAAACACTGTATACCCAGTGCTTGGCCAAGAGCTACCGTTAACAAAAAAGTTCACTGGCTTACTTGGGTGGGACTCGAATCCACGACTTCCCGCTTACTAGTGCAGACGTCTTAACCACTCGACCACCAAGCTTTCCGGGTTCGGCTGGCTGGTCCGAGTCAGATTGCGTAAAGTACATCTGGAAAACAAATTCAGACTGATTTTATGAAACTTACACACTGCTTAAATCTGCAATTTACGCAACAAATTATGGTGTAACTTTCCCAGTCATTTTAAGTGGTGTCAGTTAAAACTGAATGAGATAACCAGCTTATCATGTTTGGTTAAGCCTTATCATTGCTGAACTTAACAAGGCTTATATGTGAAAAGTACAACTTTGTTGGAGAAGGTAATGAAAAACTGTTACGCTGTGAGAGAATTGCAAGATTTTCTGCCCGGTTCCAACGAAGAAAAGACGAAAACCTTTTCAAAATGGTGGGCGGAGATGATTTGATGACTGTTTGATGGCTGTTGTTATATTGGATAGGAGCAGCTGTCGTAAAAGCTGTTTTTGTCCTCGTCCAAGAGATGTAATACTATCAAAACGTGGCACAGCTACCCAACTTTTCGTGAACTTGAGCGTAAGTACCTGTATATAAGCGCAGCTATGGCAAATTTGTGGCTTAAGGCTTACACATGGTTCAAAATTTCGTGAAATCGGTTGATGGAGCCTTGATGCTGGGCTGTACTGAGCAAAGCACAAGCTAGTTTGGACTTGTTCAGAAATTGAGGAAATCAAATAGCAAATCCAATACTGAAAAAACTGTGGTCTTTGGTGCGCTGTGGTACCGGTGTATACATGTTTTTGTAGGCCCTCAAATCTTTCATAGGCCCTGAATTTTGTGGACTGCAGGCTCCCTGCCAACAGTATCTGTTGGATAATCAGTGAACATGCCTCCTTTCTAATGTCCCCAGTAGAGAAATAAGGAAATTTCTACCAAGTATCTACATGTATTTTGGAATCACATGCAAGGCATTATTGGCCTGAGGAATTGGATGTGTTTGCAAGCCTTATCCAGCATGGCGAAAAACCAGGATTATTGAGACACGTGCATACAATACTAGTGGTGTACACAGTGCTAATCTGGCAAGATTTGTTATCCCTATGGGTGAGATATACATGTACCTGTATGACTTAATCCTGCAAAAGTTGTTGAATTTATGACATAACCTTAAGCATGTGTACTGCAAGGATTTAGGCAATTGTTTTCTGCTCAGTATGAATTGGTTCTGTTTTCATATTTGTTTCCGTCCATTGTGTTTTCAACACCTATCAAGTTACTGCTTTTTTATTGGCTGGATCTAGGGAAATACCGGTACATCAGGGTTTGCCCTTAACTGTTTTTCTCACTTGCCAGCCGGACCAGCAGTGTTGGCTTTTTACTAGTCTGCCAGCTTTTTCACAAGTCCGTGTCTCCCCCCAAATTTCAATATTCTTCTTTGCCAAGGCAGTAGTGTTTTCTGCTCCGTCATGCATCCATGTAACACTGTGCACTTGCTGACTGTTGTTTATTGTTGATGAGTAATCATAAAATAAATGGCCATGGGAATTATGAATTTCCAGAATATTCATGATTATAACTCTACTCATGCAAATTAAACACAAAGACAAAATGGTTACCTGCCGAAAATGGTTTGTTTTATTCACAATCCAAGAGACAGAAAAAAATCCATATCATTATGAACAATTTATGTACATGTACAGTACATGTACCTGTACGTGTACGTTCTATGCAGTATCAGAGCTTCCAAGTGGTACAGATTTTCTGTAATTGGTACGCCACACCACGTACAGGTTCATGTACATTGTGTGATACGGTAACCAGTGAAACATACATAGGACTACCTGTGGCGCGCTAGTGCCCGTCGACACACACGCACACAAAACGCTGTTATTACATTGGACAACTTGACATTGGAAACATCAACCAATAACACAACTCGAATGCACGGCCAACTTGGCATCGCAAGGCGTAGTGTAGTATTGTGTGTGCACATTGGTATGGGTCTGAGTTGGTATGGGCCTGAGCTATTTTTGGTCCAAATTGGTGTGATACCCATTTCTGCAACAATCATGGCGTGCGTGTGGCGTGTCGTGCATGACAACAATACGCCACCGTACTCACTCGCTCAGATATTTCTACGATCGCACAGACTTCATCATTCTTTCTTGGAAAAGAAATGGCTTCTGAGGCTAAACGTGTGAAAAAGCTGCATACATTTAGAGAAAAATACCACAAGAAATGGCCATGTATCACTGCATCTACACAAGGTGAAAATTTTGCATGATGTATGCTGTGCTCCAGCGATTTCTTGATCAGATACGGAGGATCAAATGACGTCAAAGTACATGTCAAGTCAGTGAAACATGGGGCAGGTGAGGATGATAGGGAAGGGCATCAGGACATAGCAACATTTTTCTGCCCTAAAGACAATGGTACCATTCGAGCTGAGGTGTTGATGGTGCAGTTTCTTACCGAGCATGTACCGCTGAATTTGGATTACCTGTATTGCAAACATTGGTTTCTATGCTGATGTTGCGGGTGCCCTGTGGAAGTACCCACATTATCAAATGCTGTACATTTGATTTATAATGTGGCATGCAAAGCAAATACAACTCAAAACTGTTTTTCATTAAAATACATGTGTATTACTTTCCACATACTGAAAACTCCCATACTACATGTACAGTGTAAATATGCTGTGTTGTACATGTACATTGCGCATCAAATGAAAATAGTATTTTTGTAGCCAATCAGCTCTGCGAAAGAAATTACTGATTTGCTCAGAAAATTACTGATTTTTAGAGTTGAGATTACTGAAATGCTCCGAAAGAACTTGGCAGCTCTGCAGTACATGTACATGCACATGTATCCCCGGTGAAATGTACATGTACACACAATGTACATACATGTACATGTATGTATTGTACAAGTTCGTTTTCGACTGTGTCCAGTACCTGTAGCACTAGCGCGCAAACCAAACACAAAATCACAACCTTAACATCGTTGGTGTAACAACTACCAATGACCAATCAGAAAAACAAGTAGTGCATATTCATAGCACATGTAATGCGTAGACACACCATACATACACGGCATGTCATAAGCATGGGAAGCATATTTATGAACTTACATGTACCTCTGCGATTCAATGCATGAAAGTATGTGCTGATTTAAATCTTGTATGCAGAACCAAGGTCAAGTCATAGCATTGTTGAGACCGGCCATATGCGGTAGTACAGTAAACGACCAACAGTTTGTGATCGCGCCGCATGGGCATTGTGGAATAGAAGTTTCAGACGATTTACTGCCGGAGCATTCATAGACTTCAGCATTACT